TTGTAGGGTTCAGGGGATCTCGTAGTCGAGCAGTCTCGACTAGAGCTTTCTTACTTGTTTAAACATAAATTGCCTGATATATAGCCTTTGCCAGCTTTGTGAGCGAGTATGAATATTTAAATAACTTGTATAGTTAGACAATATAAGGGAAATGTTCCCAAACATTAAATTAAAACTACATTTCTTTACACTTTTTGAAGGAAACACCAATTATACTCGTATAATTATGAAATATATATATGTATATGCAAGTATAACAACAAATAACTCAGGATCATTTGCTATGGTTCCTTTGACACTTCAAAACACTTTGTAGCAAAACTATTTTTCCAAAACCAAAACCAAAATGAAAATCAAAGATATAGGTATGTAACTATATGTTTAGCAAAATATTTAAAAGCTTTAAGTCCTATGCAATGTGTAATTAGCACCCGACAGACCCTAGAAAAAGTCGTTAAGTTTAAAACTCGAAAAGTAAACAAAATGAATTGTCCTATGTCTAGGTACAGGTATATAACCTATGTTTAAGCTTACTTACCAAAACATATATGCAAATACATTTACATTTATACGAGACCAATGACAAATTCTACGAGCTTACAACAATTTGCACATTTGAACAAGAAGAAGAAGAACCAAAAACCCAAACACTGCTTAATTTTTCAATTTGATTTCAATACACAAAAAGCCACCAAAATATAAAAACTATATGAGACTTACCAAGCACTATCTCATAATTTCGAAAACATATTTCTATACTACATCTATATTTTTAACTACAACGTTGACACACCCACCGAAAGTATCCATGATCAACAAAGAGGGGATTAGATATGTACAGTCCCTTCAGAATCAACAAACAGACAAACTCTAGTTATAAATCAATTTTCCATAATAGATCTCCTATGTTTGAAATGGTTCAGATATACATACATATGTAAGAAGACCTTGAGATGATCGAAGAGATCGCACAACTCAATTCATAACACAGGATTAGCGAATTTACTAAACCAAGAATCAGACTGTACTTGCGAAGAGGGGATAGTTGAAAGAGAGATATATATATAGAGAGAGAGAGAGAGAGAGAGAGAGAGAGAGAGAGAGAGAGAGGGAGGGAGAGAGAGGGTGAGAAGATGGAAGGAATAATACCTCTCTGTTGGATCTCAGTGATAGAGATAGTGAGAAAGAGCAAAAGAAATAGAGGGAGAAAGGACTTGGCTAAAATGAGAAAATAAGAGATTAATAGTGTTCGAAAGTTTGAGTATGATGGGAAAATAGTTAGAAAAGAGAGAGAGAGAGAGAGAGACAGGGTGTGAAGGAACAAGGAAAGAGAGTAGCTCCCAATAAAGTTGAAAAGGATACGCCGATAATATTTATTTTTAACATAGAAAACTCTAACCGACCTTATAAAAAACTTTGTTATAGTACAGCCTGATGCCGCATATAGTCTGATTCTTGATATAAAAACTGAAAGCCGCATATATTGAATGATTTGTGCTTCTATCCTATATATTGTGCAATCTATCTATTTGTTACAGAAAGAAAGAAACTGGGCTTTAAAATATATATGTAATATATAAGATATATATTATATATATATAAATAAGATATAATTTATTTAGCATTCATTCAATATATTTTAAATGTTATTCAGAGTTTTTGTGTAGTTAAATGTTGCGCAAACTAAATTCAATGAAAATGATATCTAAAATATATATACTAGATATATATATGCATATATCATAACGAACTTCAAAATGTTTTGCAAAGAAGTTCAAGTAATCAAAAAACAAAAACCAAAACAAACTTAAATTAATCAAAATGTATTAAGAAAATACTAGCAATATCTTAACGCCTCATTAGTTGATTGACTGTGTGTCTGTGTGTTAGTGTGTCTGTGTGTGTGTGCGTGAGTGGGAGAGTATGTGTGCGTGTTTAGTTGATGTGTGTTGCAATACATAATAGCTAGTTAATACTTACTTCAATGGATGTTTAATCCTGTATTATACAATCTATACATATATATATACATATACAAACACATCGGAAGCAAACACATACCAACGTAAATACCAACAAGAACAAACAAAAACATTCAAACAAGGGGTATATACCATATACATAATACATTGACCTATATATATACATATATATACATACATATATATTATATACGAAAACATCGTACAATTTTACCTTTTCAACTTCTAAGTGTCTACCAGAAACGGAAAGCGGATATACAAAGAAAACTAAAACCTAAACAAAAACCAAAATCAAAAGTAAACTAAACAAACAACAAATATATTGTGTGTGTATGTTATTACATATATGACATTATATTCGAATATGCAATATTATAAAAACCTATTAAATATATTGGTATTTAAAATATATAAAATGTGTTTTTAATATGCAAAAAAAGTGTATTTCATTTGAAGCATTAAATTGGCTTATTTTTGTAATTTTAGCAGCGCCATCTATGTGTTGCTAGACTTACTAACAGGCACTTGCCTTGGGCTTGTTTACAATATCACACATAGATGGCGCCACGCACAAATTCACAGTAGCTCATCATAAGCTTATATATTTCACACATAGATGGCTCATCCGTACGCTTGGCAAATTTATTCTTTTTCGTGTGCCTGCAAATATTTGAACTAAAAAAGCTTACAAATAAACTTTGCAACAAGTTTAATAACCATGAAAATAAGTTCTCGAAACACTGATAAATCTTCAATGTCGGCTACTTCTTAGCATGATTTGCACGTCTCTCTCGGACTGCCTCCACGTCGGCATCCGATGGATCCTCTGGCAGGGTGTCCACAGAGAGAGAGGAGCCCTTCGACTTGGAGCTGGCATTCGAGTTGGAGCTACTGCCAGAGTTCTTGGGATATTTGACCGCCTTGGTATTGCCCGAGCATTGGATAATGAAACGCAATTCGTCGAGCAGCTCATCCTTGAAGTTTACCTAGCCAAGTACAAATATTTGTTAATATCTTAAATTTAATTGTTAAATTAACATAAATTGAAATTAACATGCCAAGCATTGGGAACAACTACACAAATGTATGAACGAATGCGTTAAGGACTCAATGTGTATGTTAGGAAATTAAGTCTGCATTTAAATTAAATTGCGATTTTAATGTATTTCGAGTGGCTCCACAAGTCCACGTAGAAGCTGTGGAGAAATATTCGTTATTTAAGTTACATGTTGACCTTCGCATGCCCAGTTTTAGTCACGACACAATTAACTCGCCCTCCAACGGGCTCCGGCTGTTAATATATGAGTAGATGTCTATATAAATACATATATATAGATAGATAGATTGTGGTTATATATGTATATTTATAGAGAGCCTCCACGCTTAGCGGCTTGGTTACCTTGTTCTCTCGTGCGGTCCAGTAGCTGCTGAGCACGCAGTTAATCAGTCCATAAATGCTGGCAAAACAGCTGCCCACGAACATGACAAGATAAACGCCGCCTAGATTCGCAAAGCCCAATGAGGAGGCATCCGAATCGACTTCCTCCTGCAGTCATTCTCAATGTCAACAGTTGTGTTTGCTCTCAAATATTTCTCTCTGAGGGTATGTGTGTGTGTGGGAACATTGAGGCTGACTACGTAGTAAAGCGTATTGGTTGCCTAAAAAGCCTTCAAGCATTGATTGTAGTACCTTATTCTCGGTGCTGCGCTCCTTGACGCCCAGCAGCATCTCCAGCACGGATACTAAAACGCCAAAGGCGGCGCCCACGCCGAGCACCAAGTAAACGCCGCCCAGATTGCTTATCTCGAGGGCCAGAGCTCCACCCTCGTCGCCTGCATCCTGTGCACACACACACACACACACACACACACACAGACACCCAGATTCAGACTCAAACTCAGACATATTCATACCCGTGGGAAAAGGCAAAAGTCTTTTCGGATATGTGAGCACTTACCGAACAGGCGCCACCGCCGCGCTTCTCCTTCCACCACTTGGTCTTCATTTTGGTCAGCAGGCCCTGCTCCTGCATCTCGAGTATGGCCTGGCTCAACACATCGCGATACGGCCAGTCTGCAAAATTCCCATATCTATAATGCATAGCACTGAGCACGCTTTAGGCGAGAGTCGGGTGTGCCCGACTAGGAGCTACTCAGACGTAAGTAAGACAAGGGGAGTTACTTACTCTTTCGCATTGCTATGCCGTAGCCCTTCTCATCCAGCAGAGCGCCCACCTGGGTGAGGGTGCAACGGCGCTCAGTGATGTACTCGATGGTGGTTGACTCCATAAGGAAGGCATAGTTGCTATTCTCGACGCGATCGACGCCTTCCTGATTGGAATTCGTCATGTACTGCGGATTGTCCTTCATGAATTCGTACATCTTCTGGTAGGTGGGATATTTGGCATCCTGGAAAATGGAAAATGATTGTATATACTGCAGCTTTCTAAAATGCCTATCAGCTAGTCACCTTAAAGAAGGTAAAGGTGCTGCCGCCATTCTTTGCGCCGTAGTTGACTCCGCCCTTGTTCTCCGACAAGTCCTCAGCATCCTCTATGGGTGTCACGAGCGATTCGACAGTGAGGAAGGCAGCCAGGTTGGCCGTGTAGGAGGATACCAAGATCAGCGTGAAGAACCACCACGAGGAGGCAACGGCACGTGTTGAAAACGCTCTGCATGAAAACGAAGAACTTGAAAGACCTTTCCTGCCATAGAACTATAGGGTAACTACTTGGGAGCCAGCTCGGAGCCTTGCTGCAGTAGGGCACCAATGGAGAACCAAAGGCAATTGGCAAAACTAAATTGATTCTCCAATTCAGTGGGCTCCTCGATGCACGGATAGGGATTATCCCACTCGGCTGGGGACATGCGGCCCAGGACAAACATGCTAATGGAGACACCCATGTAGGCGAGACCCAGCCAAAGCCAAACCTCGCCCGAGAACGGAGACATGAAGGAGAAGAGCTTGGGCGGCTCCTTCATGGGCTTGCGGAACAAAATGGCAATGCCTGTGGAAGAGAGAAGAGCAGAGACGAGGGTAAAAGAGCCGATGAGTAGAGTGGGGTAGCTCACCTAGATTCATAAAGGGAATGGTAAAGTCCACGCCGCTCTCTCGCTCTGACGTCATGGTCAAATCAGTTATGCCCATGTCAGCGCGCTAATTAATAATGTTATCAGAATTGCATTGCACTCATTAATTGTCAATTACTTTCGCTTAACATGGTTAATTGGAAATTGCGAATGAATAATTGCAAATATTGCGCATACGCAGTGGAGCACGCAATGAATTTTTAAACACAATTTATTGACCCTGAACGGATTGCATTGTTGCCCCCATATAAAAAGAGTCAAATGAATTGCAAATTTAATAAATCATGAGAAATAAAGTGAATTAATAATAAATTGATAATCATGATAATCAATCGATTAGATGTGTGTAAGCCGATTGAACGAAAGAAAGCTCGTAAATATTGATGAAGCCTGATAGGATGAGGCCTGAAGGCAGTTAGATTTGGATTTATGGGCATGAGGCATGAGGCATGAGGCTCAGTCAGACACTTACGTGGTCTATTATCTCCCGGAGCATACCGTTCCACTCGCCAGTCTTGGGATCGATGCCGCCGTACTTGTTGTCCGGCTGCAGGTAGAAGGTGTAGGTGAAGCCCAGCTTCTTGGAGAGCTCGTCAATCAGCTCGATGCCGAAGCCCTCGAATTGCGCGTTGCCCTCCATTTTGTCTGCGGTCTCCTTCAGCATGCCATACGGCTCGCTCTGCACTCGGAGAGAGAGAGAGAGAGAGCGAGAGAAATTCTTGGGATATTTATTTCATACAACATCCATCTCGTCCACCTACAATCGCTGTGACGACCACAAAGCTCTTGTTCATCAGCGAACGCATGTCTGGCTCGAGCGTGTGCGCCGGGGCCGGGCGATTCATTTCAAATCCATCCGCGCTGCTCCATTGGCCAATTTGCTGCATGCCCGAGACGCCCAGCTCTATGACCTCCAGCTGAAAATCCGTGCGCAGTCCCTCATAGTCGAAATGGATTTGCCCCGTGAGACCATTCAGCGACAACTACGAATACACACACACACACAGACGTACACATGTTTATGTTTTATGAATCATTCTGTTGCCATATTCCGACTCACCGACTTCATGTAGTTGACGAGCGTGTAGCCCTTGTCCCAGGCACTGTCGTCGCCGCAGCTGAGCGTTATGGGTCGGAAGTTAACATGTTTGTATGTCTCGGCCAGCAGCTGGATGCCATCGTAGATGAGGGCCATGCTGTTGGTCAGAGGGCACGATACTGCAACGAACCAAATCAGAGAGAATTACCGACTAGGCGATACCCTCAAGTGTGAATACTAAGGAGAGAAGCAATTCACATACATATGTATGTATGTATGTATTTAACAAAACAGCTTTTCTTGTTCCTGCTACAGTCCCTAACTATTTGAACTACATTGCTTGAATGCTGGATAGCATTAAGAGAGTTCTATAATATTTAGGAATCAGAAATCATAAATTGATACAGAAATTTTTTTATCTTCACGTGATGTAGCCTTGAATGCTCTAAAGTCCTAACGAAATATCGATATTTATCGATAATACGGAAATGTGATGTGTTATCGAAGAAAACTATTCAAGCTTAGCTGCATACGGCATGCAAGAGTATATATACGAAATTTCAGTTCTATAGGCTTTCTTGATTTCGAGATCTACTTGCTCAAAGTGACAGACAGACAGGCCATCTACTGTAGAAGAGAGCAGATAGTAATGACAAAATAGATTCAACTTTTTCTGCATATTAGCTTAACACAAATTTCTCATGTGCTCTACCAAACGCTTGTCCATAGTCCATCCACCTCGTAAAATGCCCTTTTTCAGGGTATATAAATTGACAAAAAGGCTACAGAACATCCATAAATGGTTCAATGGCAATTTGCATATATCATTTTGAGTGTGCAGAAATTGAATCCGTTTCGGGTGAATCGACAAATTGAAATAGTGATCAAATGAAGATTAGGGTTGATTTACCGTTCTGGAATGGTTCCTCGCTCTCGTACAGCGCCTTGGCCACCTCGAGCACCTGCTCGTTCACGGGCGAAACGAGTCGCAAGCCAGTTATATTGGAGTCCGCATGCTGGTACGGCTCCAGGTCCATCGTCTGCCAGTCGAGATTGCCGATGATGTAGCGATAGCTGCTCGTCAGCAGACCCACCTGCTGCACCTGCTTGAAGAGCTCGGGCAGGGTATCCAGCGAGCCGACGACCACGAACGACTTGTCCTCGGCATTGCGTATGCGTCGCAGCACATTGCGGTAATTGCCATTTAGATCCAGATCATAGCGTCTAAGTGTTATAGTCGGCCCAGTCGTTCCATACATCTTCAGCAGCTCGTTAACCGTTGCCAGATACTCGCCCGACTCGTAGATGATGGTGAAGCTCTCCCAGCCCAGCGCCGTGACCAAATCCTTGATGGCCACGCCCACCTGTGCCGGATGCGGATGCAGATTAATCGTCGGCAACTGGGCGCCAAAGTCCCAGCGCGTGTCCAGAAAGGGCAGCTCCTTGGCATCGCAGATGCTTAGCGCATGGCGCGCCGCCATATTCGTGCTGGGCCCAAAGACAGCCACCAGATGTTGCTAGAACAGATATTGGAACACGATAGTGCTCAATAGAGGAGAACTACTGGAGGCGTACTCGTATGTCTATCGGCTTACCCTAAGCATTTTGCACAATTTCTTGGATGCCTCGAACGCGTTGTTCGGCTCGATGGCTACGGCCACGCCGTGCAGATTCAGCTCTTCGTTCTGCTCGTTCGCCTTCTCAATGGCCAGGTGGAAAATTTTCTCAAGATCCGGATTGGTGTTTTCAAAAATAAGACCTGAGGTAAACAAAAAATATGTAAGAGATGGAGAGACTGAATAAAACAATACTCTGGAATAATTGCTGAAAATGAAATAACGTAGATTGCCCTAATGAGTCTGATATGTGTGTGTCGTATATAGACTTGTATAGGTATTTGTATTTGTAGAATCGATCAACTGGGATTCATTTGAAGAGTTTGATGAAAATGACTGTGAATGATATAAATCCATATCATAACAGCAGAACTATGTTGTATATAGATTTTATTTCTATCGTATAACTCGGTCCATATGATATTTTCCCATTGAGTTCTACTCAAGAAGTTGTTCAATTCGATGCTCGCATTGTAATAATAGGTATCAACATATACAATTCTATCCGTAGAAAGCATATTATTATACAAATTGGAGTACATTATAAAAATCCATTTAGAGTCCCTAGCTCTACTCACACAAAATAAATATGTGTACTCGCTGTCGCTTCACTTAGCCCTAGCATCAGAGTAAAAGCACATTGCAGCCATTAAACATGAGTAGAGCTATATATAGCTCGCCATTTTTCCGCTTTGTATTTGTTTTGCTATGCAAATTCTATTTACCTATTTTATATGGCCAAAACAAATGCTGCGACCAATTCGCCGCGTTTGTAGAATGCCGCAGATGATGCTGTTGTTGTTGTTGCTGTCGCTGCTTATGCCGTGCCACATGTTTCAGTGGGGCATAAAAATACACACACACACACACACACACACACACGCACATTTGGATTGAGCAATGCACTCACACAAGTGAGCGGCATATTTGCATAGCAAACAACCGAAATTTCGTATTGCATAATAATTTCGAATGAAAAAGCCATAAAATGCTTTCAAGTTTGTTTCCCAACTGCTCAACTCACCCACATTGGTGCGTTCGGCCCGACAGCTGTCCAGGAGACTTGTGAGGCTGCATAGAGAAATCAGCAAAATGCTCCAGCTGCCCAGCTGGCCCTTGGGCCGAGCATCCACTGAGAGTCGCCCGTGCATGCGATTGCCGATTGTTGCTGCTGCAGCTGCTGAAACTATTAAATACAATTATTAATCAGTTGGTTAATTACGTTTTTATGTGCACTCAACAATTAATGCCTTTGTGTTGCAATTTTGCGTTTGCTTGTGACTTTTATGGCGCAGATAAATTGCGTTTATAGTTTTGCATTTACGACTGGCGCTGCAACGACTGCAATAAATATAGGCGGCGAATTAGTGGCACGATTAAGTTGAGAGGCGAATTGCCAGTGCTGACATGCCTGCATGAATTCGCCGCCACATGTCTTGCAGCAAGGCGCCGATTGCACGAGACGGCGAATTGTGCTGTGCTGTTTGTGCCTTGAATTCGCTGCAAATTCGCTGTGTCTAGCAATTTCTGAATTGTAAATGTAAATGAAATGTAATTAATTTGTAGTAATTCATTAAACGTGTGTTAAACGCACTCATAAAATGATTGCTTTTATATTGCGCTGTTGCGTTCGCTGCTGTTGTCTTTATGGCCGAGGCAAATTTAATTGAAATTGTTGTATTTACGACTGTTAATATAAACAGCAAATGAATAAATTTTTTGTGCGCATATGATTTAGTTGAAAGGCAAATATCGGCAGCGCCTGAATTCGCTGCAGAATATCTCGCAAGCAAAACAAAACAGAACTTGTAAGCTGAGCTCTTTACTGTGCATTTGTATGCGTGTAAATGACGTAGATGAAAAGCATAGCCTCTGCAGCTACGCTTGAATTCGCCTTCGGCCTTGCACAAGATTTTAATGAGCAGAGCGCAGCTAAGCTCTCAATGGCGATTTGTGATGTGGAGCGTCATATGTTTGAAAAGAAAGGCGAATTGCGCTGTGGGCATGTCATTCAAATGAATGGGGCGAATTGCCCGAGGATATGTGACTGAAATGAAAGGCGAATTGCGCTGGGCTGCCGCTAAGCGAGAGTAAGCAACAGCTTTGCTCTCTGTCTGGCAAACGTTTGCTATGGGCAGGTACTTGAAACTCTTTCGTTAGGTCGCCCACTATAAAGCAAGCTTGGCTTTGTTTCAAGCAATGCTTTGCACTTACAATTCTCAACTGGTTGTAGTTTCAAAAGAGTAGCAATGCGAAAACAAAGCAGGTCGCCTAACAAAGTCATTTGCCTGTGCAATTTTAGCTTAGTCCTTATTGAGTGCAATTTTAATATTGGCAAAAATAATTCCTAATGCGATTTCCATATTAAAAGTTAAACATTTTGCAATAGCAGCAGGCGTCAAGCACACATGCGGCCTGGGGCTGAATGGATGGCATTAACTTTGTCAGCTTTGAATAATCCACTTAAATTGTGGATAGCAAGAGTCTCTCATTTTTAACGAATGCGTCTATTTATAGCCGCATGCTACATGTAACGGCAACATGCGAGCACTTTCGGGAATGTCCTTCGCACACAATGCCACTGCAGCATGCAACATTATTTACGAGAGAGAGAGAGAGGGGTGGGGGGAATAGAGGAAGAGAAGCTTTCACTGCTGCCAAACTGTTGCTGAAGGCAGTAAATAAAATCAGCTTCTACGATAGCAACACATTCAGACAAACTGCCTGTCTCTGTTCGCTGTTGCCCTCTCCCTCTCTCACTCACACTCACACTCACTCGCTTATTCAAATACTGCGATGTTTGCCCACGTTTCCATCCTCTGCTCCTTTTCGCCACGTTTTCTGTTTGTTGCTGCTCGCTGCATACTTATGCATTTTTTATTTACATGCCAGCGTGCAGCGCAGCCCATCTCAGCTGAGGCAGCGAGTGCCATTAAATCTATTGCCAGGCACGTCCTGCCCCGCGGCGCCTTCACGCCTTGCGAGCGAGCACTGCATAGTGTTAAATTGCCCAGCAGCCCGTCACACATTTGCATTCCATTGCAGAGAGACAGCAGCTCGTGCATCTGGAGGATGCACACACAGCCGAGAAGCTCCGACGCACACGCAAATATATTTTATTTTCAGCTGTTTGTTTAGCCTTTTTCAAGACAAATTTAGCCTTTTTATATGCGGCTGTGCTCTGAAAAGGAGTATGGAATGTCTGCGTGTGCACACTCTAGATTACTAATGGCTTATAAAGGGCGAGGATCCTCCAAGACGATGGGACATGCTCTTCTGAATTATCGAGTCTGTATTTGAACACTTTTGGCTGCTTTTTGACTCAGATCTCTCCCATCCTAATAAATCAACTCCAATTTGTGCCTTAATAATTTTTTCCCAATTCGATTTGCCATCGTTATCAGTCCATTTAATTGGCATTAATCACGCTCTACTCATCTCTATCCATTCGGTTCCTTTCTTCCCGTTTCCTGGAGTGCTGTGCTGCGGCCCGGAGTCTGTTCAGCTTCTTCAGCTTGGGGTAATTATCCGTTGTGTACAATGGGCCACAGAGTCATCAATGGCTACATCAGCCACGGTGTAAATCAATAGCAGCTACTCTGCTAATCGGTCTCCGGCTCCTCCTGCTCATCCATCTTCATCGCCATCTCCTGCTCCATCCCCTGCTCCGTCCATTCCATCCCGTTGCCTGCGACAATATCAACAATTGTAATTCCCCCAACATTAGTTGCGTCAATATTTAAGAACTGCCAATTCCCGGGAAAATGTATTTGTGTCTCTTTATGAGAATGGAAACTTGAGTGTATTAGGATGTGTGTGCGTGTGTGTGTGTGTGTGTGTGTGTGGGGTGCGCTCGCCCTGGTATTCGCTTGTTGACAAGTGCTACTTGTCATGGCATTTGCATTGGAATTGGAATTGGTATTGGCATTGAGCGAAATCGTTGCACACGAAATCAAATTCGCAATTTGCACCAAAGATTTGATTGACATACGTAAACCTTGAGATACGAATTTCTATTTTCGATATCGATTTATGCGTTCCTTTCCATGTATTTTGTGTGCAACTGTGCGAATGAGTAATGTAATGGCACACAAGTAATTGCGCTCTAGCCGGGAGGCTCAGACTAGGAGATACCTTGACGGGCGAACGGCCAGATGGAACTGATATAGTAAATGGGAATTGAAATGGAACAATGGAACAGATAGACGAATAGATGGAATACGAGTGGAGCTATTCGATATAGTGAATGGAACTCATGCCAGAAGAATAAGAACTCAAGCTAGAACAAAAGTAGAACGAGGACTAGGATAGACCTTGATAGATTGACAGACACAAATTGACAGATGGAAATGAGTAGAACTAGCTGATGAGCAATGGAATGGAATATGAATCCAACTAATCTAGAAATATGAATAGACCGAAGTGAATAGATCCTGAGAAAGAATAATGTATTGCAGGAGATACGAAATATCTTGAGAACTTAGCTTACAATCTTACTTATCCTAATTTTCAAGCTTACGGCGGAACTGTTGCTTCTTCCCACAGCCCTAAACCAATATTCCCTCTCTACTCTTGTTCAATATGTGCTCAGATTATTTATACTATATATACAGATACAGAAGAGCGCAACAATCAGCTATTTATAACTTTGTTGAATTTGTAAGCTAAACATGATAAATATTGATGGAATTTTGCATATTTTATACGAATATCTTGTTATTGGGCGCCCGCAGAGCTACAAGTGCTTATGGAGCATTACGTTACAGGTAATTATGATGAGCCTTGGCAAAAGGTAAACAAACAAATCAGTTAAAGCACGTGAGCGCCTTTTTTTCTGCTTCTCTTCTTCTTCGTCTTCTTCTTCTATTTTGTTGGCTTTTGGCCATGGCAGAGACACAGCTCGACTCGTGTTGCCAAAACAAAATGCTACAAGCACACACACTCACACACACACACACACACTCTTAAGGATAGGCAAACAAAATCAATTTCCAGGCAGCCAAAAAGCATCCGACGGGGACGATTGCGCAACGCTCCACCTCGATTTCTCCAGCTCCAGCCTGGAGCTCCATTGAGTCCCGGCGGGCGAGTGAGTGAGCCACAGACCGCAGCAGCAGCCACAAGAGCCGTATAGCTGGAGGAACCACTACACACTCCCCACTGGCCACAAAAGTACTTATGTTCTCTTCTATCACTGTCTCTGCCCGTCTCTCTCTCTCTCTATCTCTCTGTCTCTGTCTCTCTTGTGTACACACAAAACACGTGCCGCGTAATGGCGCGTAAATTGTTGCTACCATCTTAATGCGTTCCTAAAAAACCGCAATTTCTGCGTCGCAAAGACGCAAAGGAAAATGGGAATGGGAAGGGAAACAGAATGGGAATGGGAAATGGGAAATGGGAACGGGAAAAGGTGACCGCGGCAGACGTAGGCGACTGATAAGCGAGTGAAACAACACATGAATTCCCAGGGACAGCAGGGACAGCTGCGAGGCGCAGCAGGATGCGGAAATGAACCAACTCAGGGAGCGAGCGAAAACAAGTCAAACAAATGAAATGAGCCCTAAAAAAAAGGGTTTGCTCTGGGTTTGTTCTCCAAACACTATTCGCTGCGAGCAAACTGCGTTTTTCGTTTGCCTGAAGAGAGCAAAAGTTTTTACTTCAATTATAGCAGTATGTGTGTGTGTGTGTGACTGTATGTGTGTGAGTGTGTGCGCTGCTTGTTGTAGTTGAAGTTTAGCACAAACGACATTAAAGTCAAAGCGCTAATGCTGTTCAGACAGCTGGTGAAAGAGATCCAGATTTGGTATTGTGTGGAACACCCTGGACATAGCATAAGTGGGTAAATAGATTGTGATGTTGCAGAAATTCAACCAGGATCTGTAGAAGAGTTTGTAACACTTGACTGTACTCGTATACGAGTGCAAAGTATCGTTTCATTGTAATTGAGTATGGGAGTATAAGAGTAGAGTACAGAACTATGCGAGCATATCAGAGTAGATCCGTCTAAAAGTATTAGAGTGAGAGAGTATAAACATATTTAAGAGTGGATACATATAAAAGTAGAAGAGGATCTGTCTAAAAGTATAAGACTGCATGGTTGTCTCTATATAAAAGTATAAGACTACATACGTATGTAATTCTGTGTACAGGTATAAGAGTGGATACATATTAGAGAAGAATATCAGCAGAGTAGATCTGTTTAAAAGTATAAAAGTGCAGCGGTGTCTCTATAAGGAAGTTAATATGTGTACCCAAGTATAAGAGCGGATACATACTAATTAGAAGAATATAAGACTTTTAGAAGAGAAGAGTATTCAGATTAGAGTAGATCTTCTTAAGTACCTTATCTCATCTTCATTTCATGCCTCATTTAGAATATCCTACTGTAGAGTATCTGGTAGTCGTTCAGCCTGTACTTGAGATGATTATTTAGTTTTTGGGCCAAATGGGTCTAATGTGGTGGCACTACGGCCTCGAAGCTGATGGCCAGCCGGGTTGAGTCGCCAAGGCAATGCTCAGTGTCTGTCAACAGGCGCATGAATTTTTAACGCTGGCCAGCTGCAGGTGGCACAGGTGAGCGTGAGTGTAAGGCCCAGGCCCAGGCCCAAGCAGACAATGCTGCCAACAGGCTGTCCACTTGGCAGGCAGCCAACGAGGCCCCAGCCCCAGCCTCAGCCCCAGTCGCTGTCCTAGACCCAGAGCAAGAGCAAGAGTCTGGGCTCGAGTGGGGGAGGAGGGGAGGGCGGGGGGCGAGGCCAACCAGTTGCGTTTAGGCGTGCGAGGCACGTTTGCTGCCCCTGAGCGATGGCGAAATGAATAAATGGGCAAATGGGCAAATGTCAGTGCCAAGGTGTCAAATTGTCAGCGCCCCAAAAAAAGCCCTGCAAAAAAAAAAGTGGAAAAGAAAATGGCCAACTGAGGTTTAAAGATGTTTCAATTTCTGATTGCCTGAAATTTGATGTGGCGCACGGTGCGTATGAGTGCTGTAAAGAGCGCGGCCTTACCTACATACATATACCGTTATGTGGCAGGAGTCGCATCCAACTCTCAAGGCTGCCTATACATACATACACATACATGTATATACATACATTATATAGACGTCAGTTGCCCATGCCCGAAATTTGTAGAATTTAACCACTTGTTAAACAAAAATATTATTCAATAACAAAACAAATGTAACGTGTGCGCAAATCGTGCGCTCTCGCTCTCGCTTACGCTCTCGCACTCTCTCTTTGGCGCTCTCTTTTGGCGAGTTTCTACAATGCATACACACATATTTGTAGAGCACACCAGCGAGAGCAGCCACGCAGTTCGATTCGAGAGCTGAGCGAGTGCGGACGCGCGTAGCGGACTAAACAGGAAAAGAACCGTTCGAGCGAAGTTCAAGCAAAGAACAAAACGCGTGCCAAAACCAACAACAACAACAAAAGCAGCAACAGCGCCAAAAAAAAAAAAATTGCAACTGCAGCAACAGTAAGCAGAGCAGTGCGTGCGTGTGCGTGTGTGTGTGTGTGTGTGAGTGAGAGAGGGAGAGACAGAGAGACAGCAGTCAAGCAAAGCCTTTAGGCTTGCCATATGCGCTCGAAGGCAACGGTAAATAATTGTAACTGTAAACACAGTCAGTAAGTGCAGAGACAGTTGAGAGCAGAGCATTGAAGCACAAGCATCGAGATGCCCGAAATCGTGGAGTTAAATGTGGGCGGCGTGCACTATACGACGACGCTGAATACCCTGCTGCAGGAGAAGGGCACGCTGCTGTGCGAGCTGTTCGAGGGGCCCGAGGGGCGCGACTCCCTGGCCAAGGACAGCAAGGGCCGTTATTTTCTGGACCGCGACGGCGTCCTCTTCCGCTACATACTGGACTTTTTGCGCGACAAGGCATTGAATCTGCCGGAGGGCTTCCGCGAACGGCAGCGCCTGCTGCGCGAGGCCGAGCACTTCAAGCTGACGGCGATGCTGGAGTGCATTCGCGGCGATCGGGATGCCCGTCCGCCGGGCTGCATTACAATCGGCTATCGCGGCAGCTTCCAGTTCGGCAAGGACGGCCTGGCCGACGTCAAGTTCCGCAAGCTGTCGCGGATTCTGGTCTGCGGGCGGGTGGCGCAGTGCCGCGAGGTGTTTGGCGACACGCTGAACGAGTCCCGGGACCCGGACCATGGCGGCCCGGACCGTTATACGTCGCGCTTCTTCCTCAAGCACTGCTTCATCGAGCAGGCGTTCGACAATCTGCACGAGCACGGCTATCGCATGGCCGGCAGCTGCGGCTCCGGCACGGCTGGCTCCGCGGCCGAGCCCAAGCCCGGCGTAGACACGGAGGAGAATCGCTGGAATCACTACAATGAATTTGTCTTCATACGGGATTAAGCAGAGCTGGCGGGTTTCCTATAATCTTCTTAAGCTTGTGATACGATCCAAAAGTAATAGTCAAAACTAAAACACGAACACGCCTCCTGCCAAGGCAACGGACAAGTATTAACGAAATCGATAAGTTCTATATACGTATATATTCTTTTTTTACCAATTTCTTTTTCTTTTGTATGGGAACAAATCTGAGTAGCTCTTCCGAACATCGAGATAGAGTTGAGAGTGTTGTTTAGAAAGCGTCCCAATATCTGGCATGATTTAAGCCCACCCTAATATATATATATTCCAACATGAGAGCATCTCAAGCGTAAGCATTAAGTAAACAATTCCCTCAGAGGCAAACACCCGAGAACAATCCAAGCAGAAGCCCATTTATTTACCAATCAATCAAAGCTAATGAAATGTACGAGAAATTATGGAATCCTATAAAGACAGCCTGATGAATAATAACATTTGAAATTTACGCCTATATGAGATGCGTAAAAGGCTAAACAGAAACCGAAACAGAAACAGGAAATTGGGAAATTTGAAAATTTAGAATTTTGAATTGAGCAATGAGCGAGTTAATGAAAGAAACCAGAAGTAAACAAACAAACGATCGTAATTTGAAGAAAATCTAGAAATAAATTTACAACAAGAACACATAATAAATTTATACTTATATAAGGTAGGGCCAGTTTCGGAAGAATTTATCAGCGATCTTACGGCCACAACTACAACAAGGAACTATTTAAATACGGGTCACAACCAGCATAATGGAAAACCAGTAAAAGGAAATTTACTTTTAACGACTTCTTACTCACACCGATTAAGAGAATTGCAAACTTAGAGTATTAGACTATTCGATAACAAATGTACTCCACAAATAGTTCAAGCATTAAACTAATTAGCAAAATCAATTTCAATATTATACTAAATACATACATGTATACTTATATGTTATATATGTATATATCATAGTACAACAACAGTAATACGGCTCTAGATGTGAATGTGCTACTGGAAAATGCCCTGAAACCTGAGCTACTAATTGGGTTTTTGAAAATGAAAATTTACTTACGATTGCATTTGATATTCCGGAATATATATTTCAAGTTTAAAACATTGAGCATTTATAGTTTTCGAGAAAGAGGGACCGTTATGATATCGAGTACTTCTATATGATAAATCGCACTTGGGTTCAGGGCATAAAAGCCACACAAGAAAATATTTGAACTGCTTTGGGAAATAGATAATTGAGAATTTAGTCAGGATAATGGATGAAATTATAAATATTGCAAAATCGAATACAATTTAATAAGTATATATGTATGTGTATCTTGCCAAAATGTAAGCGGAGATTGTCATCCAATTGTCTAGTAAATCAATGAAATTCGTTTAGTATATTATGCATTCATTTAAAAATTGGCATAGAGAAAATCAATGAATCAGAATTTATAGATATATGAAGATATTGAAGATTTATGTTTACAAATATAAATTTTGAATAGGTTTACTATAATTTGAATATCATAATTTTTAATAATTTATTGAAACTTTAGCGGCTTTAAGGAACGAAGTATTATATAGTTGAATATATTTATGGCTTATCTCATATTTATATATTTTATCTCTGTCTTCTACTCGATTTGTTAAATATGTGTTATATCTATATCAAGAAATATTCGATCTAATAAACTTCCACTAAACAAAATTTGCTGAAATAAAGTAAAGAAAAAAATTAATAACAAAATTTATTGTTTCAACTTGAAACCGGATAACAATCAAACTATATAAAATATCAACGATCTTTAACTAAATAATAAAGAACATTTCTATTTATGATTTTCGATTTGAAAAATTCTTGGAAGAACAAATAAAAATGTGTAAAAATCGAAATCGTATGCAAATCAATTGTCGATATTGAATATATATGATATATATAAATATGTATACATATATATATCTATAAATGTTTAGTATTAAGTTCAAAGTGCATTGAATGAGTATTTGAGTAAAAGTAGAAGAAGCAAAAGATATGAACAATGTATTAATGAGCTCCAAAAACGAAACAAAAACTAAAATGTATTATGAATCCAAATGTAGACGCTATGTAGAGGTCAACAACAAGTTTATCAAAGTGCGAACAAACCAAAAGCTAAAACTATGTAAAAATATAAATAATATATGTAATACCAATAAAAATAACTATAACATTAGATATGGCATTATTTCAATTGACTTGTCGATGTTGGATGGTTTCTGAAATCGGTGACACTGGGAAGACTTGACAGAGGTCCTCAAATTGCTCTTAATAAATTTGTTTGCTTCAAATACAAAAGTTAATCTTCAAAAAACCGAGACCAGCTATGGATTCTCAGAAAATCAAATATCAAATATTAAATATTTATATACTATTAGATTTACTATATAAGAATACATAGTTCGATTCTCAAGACTTGAGCTCTTATAGTTCTCGAGATATAAGGAAAGCAAAAGACATTCAGAAATAAGCTTGAAGACCTGTCGCAGATAATACAACAGGTCATCTGGCCCGCCTTCTTCAACCCATCACACACTTTATGCCATAGCCAATATATCCTTAGAGCCCAAGGCCCAATGGAATAAATAATGCGAGGGCGAGGATGGGCGATGACCACGCTCTGTCCACAAATTCAATTTGGCAATTTAATTGGCATTGCTTTCAGTCAGCGCGACAGGGTCTTAATTAGATATTTATGACATTTCATTTATTCATTGTTGCAATCAAATTTATGAACTGTTCGCACTACTCGCACAAAAAACAAAAACAGAAAAACCAAATGAGAAAATAAAAACAAAGAAAGCAACAAAAAACTCATTAATGCATTAATAATGCAGGAAACGTTGAACAGTCGACCAAAAAGAGGTGCATGAGGCTGGGTGGGCATCGCCCCGCAAATGTCGAAGGCAGCGAAACGGCAACAAACAAATAATTTAAATAACTGAAAAGGCAGCGAGATGAAAAAACGACAACAATCTGGCATTTGTTTAAATTCAAGGCAGACTACAATCATTTACTTACACACAGCTAGTCGAGTGCGAGGAAGCGACAGCGCGAGTGGGAGGGGCGAGGGGGAAGGGGGGCATGGCACAAAGGACACCCTCGCCAAGTCCTATCGGCACGCGCGCATCGCACCCAGCTTAGATCCAACAGCAGCAGAGCCAACAACGAGCTATGACTAGTGCTAATAAGTATAAGTGCTCCAGTCGGGTGTGCCTGACTAGCAATTATCCTGACCTATTAACGCAAATCATCTCTTTGTATGTAGGTGTGTGTGTGTGTGTGTGTGAGTAGGTGTGTATATGTATGTAACATATGTACAGCTTAGACCAATCCTCTGTGTTATGATAGAGTAGCATATGTGTAAAACTCTTATACTCTTTAAATGCTATACTCTTTTGCCCCATATATTTCATTTTATGCTTGTAACTCACTTTTAATATCGAATACTCCTCGTCTACTATTATTTCCTTGAACTACTGCTCTACTATACCTTTATTATCTTATATTCTTATAAAAAAGTAGGGTAAAAGACTGACTTTTCAGTCTTATACTTCCATGCTTATATAAGATTTAAGGCCTAGTCTAGTCTAGTGTAAGAATACACTTATAATTATACTCCAATACTGCTCTATTTATATACTCATAATCTTAGTAATCCGTAAACTAGTTTTCTTTTACCTTATATGCACACTTTAATACTCTTATACTGTTATATTTGCATACTGGTGTAATATTGGTATCATAATACTTTTATATTTATACCTTATGTTCTTATACGCTTTTACTATCCACTCTTTTCTCTCATATATTTATACCTCAACACAATTTAAAGCCCTACTCAGATAATCTTATGAGTACATATAGGCATTCGTATATCCCTGTTTGTCTTTTAACATTATAATCTTTTGCTCTTACACACTTATACTACAGAGGACACAAACTTTATATCACATCACATCATCCCCGCCTTCTTCTCTCTGTCACATACATACGCACATAACCGATATACCCTGCTTATGCTATATCAATGTATTTAGAGTATGGAAATGTTGAAATTAAACGAGGAAAGGCAAATGCTGAATGAGTGCGTGAGTGCGTGAGTGTGTGTGCGTCTTAAAGCATGCTTCAGATCTAAAGCCAAAGCCAAAGCCAAAGCCAAAGTCAAAGCAAATGGAGCAAGTGCAAAGACGAAAGAAAAGAAACTGCAGCGCTCGTCCTCTTTGAAATCAGGAAACATTAGGCAGTGAAAGACAGACGAGTGGATAGATAGGTGTGGGTAGAGGTGTGTTGGTGTGTGTGTGTGTGTGAGTGTGTCTCTGCCTGCGTCAGCTGCATACTAAGCACCTTCTACCTGAGGCGACTCACGTACTGCGCTTCTTTTTCCATTTTTTTTTTTTTTAGGGGGTTCTGTTTATTGACTATATATGCCCAGGACTAACACAATATGCAAAGTGCGCAGATGTCAGGCACAGCGAAAAATCCCAACCCAAAAATAAAGTAAATAAGCAAAGGAAAAGGTTAGATATACGCATATAAATTACAGACAGCCATGCCACGCCCATAATTCAGATGGGTCATGACAGTCTGTGAGCGTATGAAGATGAAATGATGCCTTTTTGTCTTTTACGCTAAATTACCTTGATTTGATTTGGCCAGGACGTCACCAGGCAGGCAGGCATCAGAGGCGCCGTCCGTCCGTCTTCATTATCAACGGCAGAGGCAGCTAAGCCGGCAACAATGTTGCTCTGTCTCTGTCTCTGTCTCTGTCTGTCGCCCTGTCTGTCACCTTCAATTAGTTTCAGCCCCAGCAGGGCTAATGCCGAGCACAAGGCTCCATCAGCTGCCTTATTAATTCATAAATACGCATTTGCGCCTAGGTCGTGGCGAAAGGCGCTTTAAATTTATGTCAGCGAACTGAATTGAGCGCAATTTGTGAGCGCAAGCGACTCTCCCCCCACTCCCGTTCACCCACTTTGTTAGCCCTTTAGCTGAAGCTGAAGCACACTTTGGCCAAGGCGCAAATATCGC